CACCTTAGGTGTATGTGGCTGGTGCCTTAGCCACTTGAGCCACAGGTGCCGAGCCTCTCTATTCTTGAGTCCTTTTTCTTGAGTGTCTCCAGCCTGCCTTCTCACAGGGGACTCCTCACAGCCCACTGTGTAGAGAACATTGCACATCTTGCACTGGGTATCCCCACAGTGGTCACTGCTGTGCATGTACCAGTCAAAAGGAAATCTTCTCTAAGTTGAAAAGGTAACAAATAAAATTTAAAAAATTAAAAACCTTCTCTTTAAAAACTGACTTCATTTTCTCTCCATCTAGCAAGAGGCAAACCTTCCTGAATTGGCTTTCAGTTTGGGGAAATGAATGACTAAGAGTCGCTCATTATCTATTTCTTACTCTACCAAAAAACCCCCCACTTGAACTCAGCACAGATGGGTGAGGGAGAGACTGGCGCTCACAGGAAGCGACACATCCTTCAAAGGCACCTGTCCTTCTCAGTGCTGTGCTTCTTGAGCAAGGCTGGCACTGCCTCGTAGATCTTCCTCAGAGCTGTCTTCAGGAAAGCCAGGTAAGTGGGGATGGGATCTTTCCCACACTGCTTTCTCTGTGTATGGACACGAGGAAGCCCTGAGCACTGGCCAGCCACTGCCCAGCCCAGACACTCAGGTCCCTCACCAGTCTGGGGCTCACAGTTGACAACGACCTCATAGCCCACAACAGCCTCGACCTGTCCCCACACTTTCCGAGCCTCATCTGATAGGCATTCATATATATGGGGCTCTCCCCCTGCACACATCTGGCCTACACAAGCCCCAAATAAATATAATCTTCATCAAAAACATAAGCTTTTCTTCCTCTTCCTTCTAGCGAGACTCCCAGGCCAAGACACACCACACACCTAAGGCTTACAGAATAATTCCAGACATTTACCACCTGTTTCTTGTTTGTTTAATCTCCTCATAATTTCTTAATTTCTCAGCCTCATTTATTCCTTGAATTCTCACTGTTAAAATAGCGGAGAAAGAGTAGAATTGTCTTGAACAAACTTATTTTGGAGAGCCTGTGATACAACAGATCTTCAGCATCCGTTTATAGGAATAAGTCAAAATCTCTCTCTTGAGAAACACACGGTTTGGATGTGTGGTGGTGAGCGTGGGGGGAGAGAGTAGATATTAATTACTGAATGATGCGAACAGAGTTTTTTTTTTCTTTTTTTTTGGCAGTTTTTGGCCGGGGCTGGGTTTGAACCCGCCACCTCCGGCATATGGGGCTGGTGCCCTACTTCTTTGGGCACCCCTCCAAACAGAGTTTTTATAAGGAATGTTGGGAAGCCATAGAAGCATCAAGCAGGAAGGAAAGGGGTGGCCTTGAGTCAGCCGCTCATCCCTGAATTGCTCCCATTAACTTTAGGAAGGTTAACCTCCTCCTCTACCAATTTTTTTTTAATTTTTAAAATTTATTCTTATACTTTATTTATTTTAAGAGAGAGGGTATTGCTCCGTCACCCAGGGTAGAGTGCTGTGGAACAATCATAGCTCATTATCACCTTGAACTCCTGGGCTCAAGCAATCCTCCTGCCTTAGCTTAGTAAGTAGCAGGGACTATTGGCAGGCATCACCAGGCCTGGCTAATTAAAAAAAAAAATTTATAGAGATGGGGGTCTCGCCACATTGGCCAGGCAGGTGTTGAATTCCTGGCCTCAAGGAATTCTTTTACCTCAGCCTCCTAAGGTGCTGGGATTCCAGGCGTGAGCTGCTGTGCCCTGCCTATCTGCTGATTCAAATAGGAAATATAGGTAGTTGGTGGAGATGAAGATTTTGTTTCTGGCTATGATGTGCCTTTTCCAGGTTTTTCAGGTTCATTCCCACTCTAATAGGATTCTGTGCATAGAATTGATTTCTATATCACGTTAGATGAAAAGGCCAGATTTTTTTTCCAAATTCCCCAACTGATTATCGCAACTTTCTGAAAGGTCTTGAAAATGCTCTTGCTTGATTAGTGTCAGATTGACCTGGGAGCACTGGCTGCCATGCCTGGACAGCCAGGCACATGCTCACCTGAGGTGTGCCCTAGAGAAGAGATAGCATGCGGCAGGGCTGTGCTGCAGCTGGCTTGCATCAGTGCTGAAGAATCGATTGGCAGATATACTCAGGAATTTTGTGAGGCAGTTGGTAGCTTGGAATTGGCCATGGTGAAAGAATATACACCACAGAAACCAGAAACTACTAAAAATCAGAGCTTTTATCTGCTTGCCTCAGAGATCTGATTTTCTAGCACATCACTGGGACTTTGGGCTCAAACAACAAGTTCTATACACAACTGTGTGGTCTTCGGAAGTCACTTAACCTTTCTGAGTCTTTCATGAGTCATCTACGGGCTTGGCTACCAAGATACGGGCTTGGCTTAGGGTATAAGATTTTTGTTGAGCAAGGGATTAAATGCACAATGCTGGTGAGCCTGCTTTGAAAAAATATAAGGCTTAAAGTATACAGTAGGTATTAGAATTTTTATATAAAGGCAAGTGACCAATCTGGTTTCGTTCTAGCTGAATGAGATCGCCTGAGTAGTTACTGAACTTTTGGAGTTACAATATGGAGGGGACACATGGAGTAGCAAAGGAGCATGACCCCCAAGGGGATCACCAGTCCCAGAATGTTGATTTTTAATTTTTGTTTTTTAATGTCAGAAAGGCCGTGGGTGCAGTATTGTTGGGAATATCACCTGATTTTGTCATCCCTGAAAGTGCTTCCAGGAAGCCCAAACTACAAAATATCTTTTAGAAACACTCTTGAAAAGGAAGGTTTACTATCCTCACTTTACAAATGAGACAACTGAAGCTCCCAGCAGACAGGGGTAAGACAACTACTGAGTGGCAGGGCTGGCATTTGAAACAAATCTATCTGACTCCAAAGCCAGGATTATTTCATGGGGGGTCCAAAGAGCCAGGGCCCTGTGAGGAATTGAGCCCCCTGGTCTTACGAAGGGTATAGAATAATCTGAGGTGAGACAGGATGTGGCTTCATCTGCATTTAGCACGATTTCTTTTTGTTCTTATAGAAACCTCGTTTGCTCTTCCCCTCATTAGCTGCTTCTTATTGGGCCCTGATCTGCCTTGAGGAGCCTGTGGACTTAAAAAATGAACTCCACGGATATAGCAGACACCACGCCGGATGAAAGTATATACAGCAATTACTACCTATATGAAAGCATCCCCAAACCTTGCACCAAAGAAGGCATCAAGGCCTTTGGGGAGCTCTTCCTGCCTCCCCTCTACTCCTTGGTCTTTCTGTTTGGTCTGCTTGGAAACTCTGTGGTGGTTCTGGTCCTGCTCAAATACAAGCGGCTCAGGTCCATGACTGACGTGTACCTGCTCAACCTTGCCATCTCGGATCTGCTCTTCGTGTTTTCCCTCCCTTTCTGGGGCTACTACGCTGCGGACCAGTGGATTTTTGGACTAGGCCTGTGCAAGATTATTTCCTGGATATACTTGGTGGGCTTTTATAGCGGCATATTCTTCATCATGCTCATGAGCATCGATAGATACCTGGCCATTGTGCACGCCGTGTTTTCCTTGAGAGCGAGGACCTTGACTTACGGGGTCATCACCAGCCTGGCTACGTGGTCAGTGGCTGTATTTGCCTCTCTTCCTGGCCTTCTGTTCAGCACTTGTTATACTGAGCGCAACCATACCTACTGCAAAACCAAGTACTCTGTCAACTCCACAACGTGGAAGGTTCTAAGTTCCCTGGAGATCAACATTCTGGGACTGGTGATCCCCTTGGGGGTCATGCTCTTTTGCTACTCCATGATCATCAAAACCTTGCAGCACTGTAAGAACGAAAAGAAGAACAAGGCGGTGAAGATGATCTTTGCCGTGGTGGTCCTCTTCCTTGGGTTCTGGACGCCTTACAACATAGTGCTGTTCCTGGAGACCCTGGTGGAGCTGGAAGTCCTTCAGGACTGCACCTTTGAAAGATACCTGGACTATGCCATGCAGGCCACAGAAACCCTGGCTTTTGTTCACTGCTGCCTTAATCCAGTCATCTACTTTTTTCTGGGGGAGAAATTTCGCAAGTACATCATACAGCTCTTCAAAACCTGCAGGGGCCCTTTTGTACTCTGCCAATACTGCGGGCTCCTCCAAATTTACCCTGCTGACACCCCCAGCTCATCTTACACACAGTCCACTGTGGATCATGATCTCCGTGATGCTCTGTAAAAAAGGAAAATGCAAATACAGTCAGTGAGCTTCCCACGTGCAGAGCTTACTTGAAGTTGTATTTTAGTAAGAGATGTCTGAGCCAGTGTCAGGAAGAAGGCTTACCTCCATGGTAGAAAGACCCACCCTGCAGTCAGCTTCTCCTCTCCCAGCAGACCAGTCCAGCCCAGCAAAGGACCGAGTTGTCCTTCCTCACACAGGCTTGCCTGCAGGGCTAAGTCAATCCGAGGAGAATTCTGGACAGGGTTTCAATGAGGTTGTAGATAATATTGCAAGAGAAAGACCATTTCCTTCTTTCCAGAACTGGTAGTGTTCTCCAGAGGGAATCGGAGAGCACAGACTGATGGAGTAAATTGCCATCTTCTGCTGTGGAAAATGGGCTCTGCAATCCATTTCTAGCTTTTGTAGAACAATACAGAAACTTTTGATATGCTGTCCTACTGTTTTTCTGACATCTCTGGGGCATGCTATATTCCGTGCAGTCAGAAGTATGTGGGAACAATCATGAAGTGAGGATCTAGGTCTTAATTCTTTTATTGTAAAGGATTATTTGCTAACTGAAGCCAATTATTTTTGTGCTCATTAGAAGAGTAAAGATATGAAGACGTTAGTGTGCTTAGATTTCCAAACACAAAATATAAGACATTCAAAATCCTAACATAGGGCGGTGCCTGTGGGTCAAAAGGGTAGGGCCCCGGCCCCATATGCTGGAGGCGGCAGGTTGGAACCCAGCCCCAGCCAAAAAAGAAAAAAAACCCGAAATCCTAACATAATTGCAAAAATTCAGTTTCTGGGCAGTGCCTATGGCTCAGTGAGTAGTGTGCGGCCCCATATACTGAGGGTGGTGGGTTCAAACTCGACCCCAGCCAAACTGCAACAAAAAAATAGCCGGGCACCTGTAGTGGGCACCTGTAGTCCCAGCTATTTGGGAGACTAAGGCAAGAGAATCGCCTAAGCCCAGGAGTTGGAGGTTGCTGTGAGCTGTGACGCCTCGGCACTCTACCGAGGGTGATAAAGTGAGACTCTGTCTCTTAAAAAAAAAAAACAACACAGTTTCTTTTGTGGATTTTTTTTTTTCATACAGGGTCTCACTCTGTCTCCTAGGCGAGAGTGCAGTGGCATCATCATAGCTCACTGCGACCTGATATTCCTGGGCACAAGTGATTCTCCTGTCTCAGCATCCCCAGTAACTAGGACTACAGGAGTGTACCACCATGCCTGGCTAATTTTTCTATTTTTTTTTGTAGAGATGGGGTCTCGCTGTTGCTCAGGCTGGTCTTGCTCTTTGGCCTCAAGTAATCCTCCCATGTCTGCTCCCCAAAGTGTTGGGATTACAGGTACAAACCACTGCACCTGAGCCTGTTTTGTTATAAATATAAGAGATGAAAATTCAGTTTTTAAAAAGAACACATAGCCCAAGAATACATTTGTTTGGGATCTTTTGCTTGTTCATAAACAGTGCCTGCAATACTAAAAATGAGGAGGATTAATAAAGTATAACAATACTTCCTTAATCATTTTGAAGCGCCTGCCATCAACTGAGGTAAAACTAACCAACTAAAAGTTCTTGCTGATGTGGCATATACATAGCTGTTAAACAATTATGAAATTCTGAAGAATGTCATCTGTCTTTTAAAATATTGGCCCTGTTCTTTTTGTTTAACTTTCGGGTGACTCAACAGCTTGGTCAGCCATTTCTTACAAATTATTTTACTCATCTCAATCATTTATACCATTAAGATCAATTGCTATCTCTGTCCTTACGGCTAGAATTAGAATTAAGCAAAGATGTCAACAAAATCTGGGAGACCTCTAATTCCTCCCCAGACAAAAACTTTCTCGCAAGCAATTTACTGAGTTAACCAGTTTAAAATGCTTCAGTTATATTCACACGTTATTGCATGCTCTATCTACATTTCTGAAGAATGCATTTCCAGAAAGTTTTACTTTTGTAAAAGTGTTTTAAGAGGGCAAGCTGTGTTGATTGCCTTTATGGAAAATAAAACAAAGTAAACTTGTCTATAGCCCCGCAGAGCCTCTTTGCCTGATCGTGTTTGTGTCTGATCTGATGTGGGTGAGAATCAGAGCTGCTGATGTGCACGTCACCCCATCACAGCCTGCCCATGGTGGGGCCTCCACCTCTGCTCAGGGTGGGAAAGGAGTTCTATCTGTTGTAGCGCACTTGGAGATAAGACTGGATCTTATCCAGGCAGTGTTTCCTTAGAAAACCTCTGTGAGGTAGGCTAGGATCTGCCAATCCTACTTCACGTTCCTTGGTGAGCCTGAGTACACTACTATCCTCTCTTAGCCTCAGTTTCCTCCTCTGTAAACTGGAATATACTTCAGAGTGATGGAAAAAATGATTAATGCAAAGCATCTCTGTTCCCAGGTCAGAATAAAGCGTGGTTTTGGATCTGCCCATTCAGGGGTTGCCTCCCTTTTTCTATCGAGCTTACAATTTTATTCACTGAGTCACAAAAACTTCAGGGCACCAAAAAGACAAAAGGCGGCCATAGGGGTCCTTTTATTTCCCATCACATTCAATGCTAAGCAACGATGAGGAGTCCATCTTTCTCCTTCATCGAAAGTTGCTCAGCGCTCCCCTTGCTCCACAGCTGGGGGGCAGGCAGGCAAGTATTCCTTTAGGACAAGAATTTAGAACCTCTAGTGACATTCAAAGGTAAATCCCAGAACACAGAAAACCAAGTTTCTTTCCATTCAGTAACAGAACTATAGAAAGCAAGCCAGCATGATTTCCACACAAAGCTGGGTTTAACTGTAAATTTTCAGACAGTAGATTCACCCTGTCTTTGTTACAACCTGCTTAGCTTCTGGGAACCACAGACGAGGTGTAATTTGCTTAAGAACAATAGAAATGTGTTTGCTTTTGGGGTGATGTACGTGTTTTGGACCTAGATAGAGGTGATGACTGCACAGCATTGTGAAATGTACCGAATGCCACTAATTACACATTATAAAATGGTTACATTTATATTGTGTAAATTTTACCTTGATAACAAAAAGAATAATTGGAACTAGCCTAGCCGATATCTGTCCCACAGTAGGCACTCAAATGCTAGTGAATAAATTAGTTTCATCTGCTTCCCGTGAGAAGAAACAATATAGGGTGAAGCCAAAGGCTCTTCAGATTTTCAGGAAAATTTTATGCAAGAAACTCTACTAACAATTTTTGGAACTATTTGATGCAATTAATTCCCATCTGTTGAATGCCTATTTGGTACTAAGCAGAATGTTAGGTTATGGAGTGAATAAAAGGATAAAGCAGTAAGTTCTGCACTCACAGAAATTACAATCTGCTGAGGGAAAACAAACCGAGATTATAATGCAAGCAAGAAAATATGGTAAAGGATTATTTGGGACTCCAGAGGAAAGAGAAATGGATTCAATTTCAAATTTTCCTAATACAATTAGTTTACTTTTTTTCTTTCTTTCTTTTTTTTTTTTTTTTGAGTCTTATTCTGTCATGCTGGGTATCATAGCTCACAGCAATCTCAAACTCCTGGGTTCAGGGCCAGGTGCAGTGGCTCACGCCTGTAAACCTAGAATTTAGAGAGGTTAAGGCAGATGGATCACCTGAGCTCAGGAGTTTGGGACCAACCTGAGCAACAGCAGACCCCATTTCTAAAAATTAGCCAGGTATTGCAACAGGCGCCTGTAATCCCAGCTACTTAGGATTGCTTGAGCCCAAGAGTTTGTGGTTGCTGTGAGCTATGATACCATATTACTCTACCAAGGGCAACCTTGGTAGATTTTTCTCAAAGTAAAAGTCTACCAAAGTCTTGGTCTCAAAGAAAACCAAACCAAACCAAAAAAATACCTCTGGGGTTCAAGCAATCCTCTGGTCTCAGCCTCTCAAGTAGCTGAGACTATAGGTGCCCCCCACAATGTCGGGATAATTTTTAGTAGAAGCAGGGTCTCACTCTTGCTCAGGCTGTTCTTGAATTCCTGAGCTCAAGCAATCCACCCCCCTCAGCCTCCCAAAATGCTACGATTGCAGATGTGAGCCCCTACCCCTGACCTACAATTAACTTTCAAAGTGGACCTTGTAGGAGAAGCAAGATTTTGATAGATGAAAGGGAGGAAGGACTTCTAGGCTGATGAAATAGCATATGAAAAGCAAAGGTGGTATCAAGGGAGCCCTGTGTATTCAGAGAGTGCTGAGTAGGGTTTTTGGTAGTTCAAATGAATACGTGGGAGTGGAGCAAAGTTGAGAAAGATGAGACCAAAGAAAAATTATGATGAGTCAGCTACCCTGGGCTTGAGGAGACTGTGGGGTGCTGTGGGGAGCTGTCCACATACCCACCTGCGCAGGGCTGAAGCATTTGCTCTACCAGCCACAGTTATGGGTGGTGGCTGATGGCTCTCAGCTGGCCTCCCTTCAGGATCGTCCTCCCTGAGGGCAGCTCATAATGACTGAGTAAAGGGATCCAAGCACGTGCCTCCTGGCTTAGACCTGAGACAGCTCTAAGGGCCATTGCTACTGCAGAGCTCCCAGATTTGCAGAGGCCTCAAATGCAACTACATTGTGGTTTACCTTTTCTTACTGCCCCATCCTGCTTCCTTTAAGTTAGGGACATCCAACCTGATTTTATGAGGACTTTTTTTGCTTATCTGTGGTGCCAGATATCACAAAAAGTATGCATGGACCTTTTTTTGCTCATCAGCTTTCGTTAGTGCTTGTGTATCTAATGTGTGGCCCAAGACAACTCTTATTCCAATGTGCGATAGAGATGAAAAAAGGGTGGACACCCTTGTGTTAGGCCCTTACAGGTGCTCTTATTTAAATCTCTTGCAATTTAATCTCAGAGTCTCCTGGTCTGGTTCTAGGAATCCCAATCTAAAATAACAAGGACTTTCTGGTTACTCTGGAATCTGGACACTAGCACCTAACATAAATAGAAACTGACCCAGATGGGGAGGTATAGTGTTGGAGTCAGGGATGCCCTTCATTCACTGCCCTCTGACCATCAAGCCCACCTGACTTTTGGCTCTTACTCTCCTTCAGTTTCTCCTTGGCCCTCATAATTTACCTGCCTCAAGCCCTGAGGCATCTTCCCTTATGCCACTTCATTGGCCATCCCACAAATACCTGACATCCTAGATCCTGTACTGGCCAATTGACCGTCCACTCCATCTCCAGCCTTTCCCTGCTCAAATGAACCAGATACAAGCTCTATCCTATTTTGGTTTTCCTTTTTTCTCCACTCTGTCCCCTAGGTGGGAATGAAGTGGCACAATTATAACTCACCATAGTCTCAAGCTCCTGGGCTCAAGTGATCCTCTGCTGTAGCTATGATTACAGGTCATTTTTTGTGGTCATAATACTTTAGTCCTTAAAAGATTAAAATGGTTCCAAATTCCCCTTCTTAAAATTTCAGAATACTATGGGGGTATAAATGTTTGGATTATGTGGATTGCTTTTGTACTGCTTGAGTCAGGGTTCTGAGTGTGCTCAGACCCAGATAGTGTTCACTGTATCTGTTGGGTCTGATTTCCCCCAACCCTTCCTCCCCCCTTCACCTGCTTGATTCCCATTGAGTTTTACTGCCATCACATGAGTGATGATTGGTTAGTTCCAATTTGATAGTGGTATTTGTTTTTCCATTCTTTGGGTACTTTACTTAGGATAATGGTCTCTAGT